TCAGTTGACGCCCACCACCACTCCATTGTACGGATTTACCGGAGATAGCATCACTCCGAGAGGAAAGATAACACTGGCAATGGAGATGGGAGAATCTCCTCAAACTACGATGAACTTCATGGAATTCCTCATAGTTGACAGCCAGTCGGCTTACCACGGAGTCTTGGACAGACCGGCTCTAAAGGAATTAGGAGCAATCACCTCCATCCACCACCTATGCATGAAATTCCAAACAGAAAATGGGGTGGCAACGGTGAGAGGCGACCAGAGAGGTTCGAGAGAGTGCTATCTAAGCTCCATTAAAAAGGTAGAGCCCCGGGACGTCCACCTGATCATGGCTAATATGGTCATGGCGGATACCCAGGTGACGCTCCCACTGACCAGGAAGATGTTGATATGATCGACGCACCGCTTATTCAGGAAGTATTGATCGTTGATGAGATAGACCCCCGCATAATGGAGCATGAGCCTCAAGCATCCCCTGTAGAGGAACTTGAGAGCTTCTCAACCAACCCCCGAGATCCGTCGAAGGTGTTGAAAATAGGCAGAGGCCTATCCAACATTTTGAGAGAAAAGATTAAGGACTTCCTAGGCAAGAACCTTGACGTCTTTGCTTGGAGGCATGAGGACATGGTGGGCATAGACCCCAAGATCAGCTGCCACCACTTGAAAATTGATCCTAATGTTGCCCCCGCACAGACAAAAAAGGAGAGCCCTCAACCCTGAGAGGTACGAGGCCCTAAAGGAAGAAGTTCAGAAGCTCATCCAGAATGGCTTTATCAGGGAGGCCACCTATCCGAGGTGGGTTTCCAACCCGGTCTTGGTTAAGAAACACAATGGCAAATGGAGGGTATGCATCGACTTTACCAACCTTAATAGAGCTTGCCCGAAAGACAGCTTTCCGCTTCCAAGGATTGACCAATTGGTGGATTCCACGGCTGGGCACGAGTTGTTGAGCTTCATGGATGCATACTCCGGCTACAACCAGATCCCCATGCACCCAGCCGATGAAGAGCACACCTCTTTCATCACGGACCGAGGCCTCTATTGCTACAGAATGATGCCTTTCGGGTTGAAAAATGCCGGAGCAACCTACCAAAGACTCGTGAACAAAATATTTACCGACCTCATTGGCAAGACAATGGAGGTCTACGTGGATGACATGCTGGTGAAGAGCTTAGAAGCGGAGGACCACATAGCGCACCTCAACAACACCTTCAAAATCCTGAGAAGGTACAAGATGAGGCTCAACCCCTTGAAATGTGCCTTTGGGGTGACTTCCGGCAAGTTCTTGGGGTACATGGTCAACCAGCGAGGAATTGAAGCAAATCCCGAGAAGATTGAGACTCTGTGCCAGATGAGGTCCCCTCAAAAGCCAAAGGAGGTGCAAAGCTTAACTGGACGAGTGGCAGTACTTAGTTGCTTCGTCTCCAAAGCAACTGACAAGTGCCTCCCATTTTTCAAAGTGCTCAAGGCTGGGAAGAAATTCCAATGGACTGAGGAATGTGAAGAGGCCTTCCAAGGACTGAAAAGGCATTTGGGGTAGGCCCCCCTCCTCTCCAGCCGAAGCCCGGCGACATCTTGCAACTATATCTTGCTGTCTCCAATGACGCCATCAGTTCGGTTCTGGTACGAGAAGAAGGGTCCACCCAACTTCCTGTCTACTATACGAGTAAAGCGCTCCTATCGCCGGAGACCTGATACCCCGATATGGAGAAGCTTGCTTTGGCCTTAATCACGGCCTCTAGGAAATTGAGACCTTACTTCCAAGCTCATACCATCCATGTACTTACAAATTTTCCCCTGAGGCAAGTACTCCAAAAGCCCGATGCCTCGGGAAGATTGTTGAAATGGGCAGTGGTACTAAGTGAATTTGACCTTGTGTTCAAAGCTAGAGCAGCCATCAAAGGGCAAGCTTTAGCTGACTTTGTTGCTGAATTCGCCAACCTGCCCGAGGTAGATGAAATCATGGAGTCCGTCGAACCCCCCACGTGGAGCCTTTTCGTCGATGGCTCAACTGGGGAGGTCGGCTCAGGTGCCGGGGTTGTCCTCATCAGCCCCGAGGGTCACAAACTCACCTCGGCCGTAAGGTTCGGATTCAAAGCCACCAACAATGTTGCAGAGTATGAAGCGTTCCTTGCAGGCCTCAGACTGGCCAAGGAAATGCAAGTAAAGAAGCTACTTGTCAGTAGTGACTCCCAGCTGGTTGTTAGCCAAGTCAATGGTAATTTCTCAGCCAAAGACAAAACAATGGACTCCTATCTGAAAATAGTGATGAGCCTCATCCCATCCTTTGAAAAGTTCGAGTTAACCCAGATTCCCCACATCGAAAATGCTCATGCGGATGTACTCTCGAAGCTGGCTAGTAGCAAAGACTCAGAGCTACTCACTGTAGTGCCTATCGAGCACCTCCTACTGCCTTCTACCGAGGCCCCTAATGTCATGTGGGTCGGTGGAACTCCCACCTGGATGCAACCAATTATAGCATATCTGAAAGACCAGGTGCTGCCCACCAACAAGAATGAGGCTTATAAGCTGAGAAGGAGGTCAGCCCACTTCCTCTTCATCGATGACATTCTCTACAAGAGAAGTTTCTCCTCTCCACTCTTACGATGCGTCGGAGAAGAAGAGGCTACCTACATACTAAGAGAAGTCCACGAGGGAGTGTGCGGCAACCACTCTGGAGGCCTATCTCTGGCACAAAAAATACTGAGGCAAGGGTATTATTGGCCTACCCTGAAACGGGATGCCCTCGAATTTGTGCGAAAATGTGATAAGTGCCAACGATTCTCTCCCGTTCAAAGACGACCATCACAGGATCTGACTACAGTCTCCAGCCCCTGGCCTTTCTCAAAGTGGGGTGTGGACCTCATAGGCCCCCTACCTAAGGGTAGAGGAGGTGCAAGTTTTGCACTAGTGGCCATTGATTACTTCACAAAGTGGGTCGAAGCTGAACCACTGGCAAAAATCACAGAAGCCAACACCTCCAAGTTCCTATGGAAGAATATTATTTGTCGGTTCGGAATTCCCTACTCGATCGTCTCAGACAATGGCAGGCAATTTGATAACAAGAAAGTTAGAGAACTGTGTGAAGACCTTGGCATAAAGAAGCACTTCTCTACACCTCACCACCCACAAGCTAATGGCCAAGTTGAAGCCGTAAACAAGACAATCAAGCACGTCCTGAAAAGGAAGCTCGATGTATCCAAGGGAGCTTGGGTTGATGAGCTGCCCCAAGTACTTTGGGCAATCCGAACCACCACTAGGACCCCAACGGGGGAGACCCCTTTTCTCATGGCTTTTGGGACTGAGGCAATGAGCCCCGTTGAGGTCGGACTCTCATCTCCACGTCGTCTGCACTTCAGCGAAGTGACCAACGACGAGCTCCGGAGGCTCGACCTCAATTTCATTGAGGAGAGAAGGGATGACTCCCAGCTGAGACTAGGCACCTATCAAAGAAAGATGACAAGGTACTTCAACTCCAAAGTGAAGAAGAAGTCGTTCCGAATCAACGATCTTGTGCTCAGGAGGGTCTTCCCGTCTTCAAAAGAACCTAGTTTCGGTTCCCTGGGGCCAAACTGGGAAGGTCCATACAAGATCAGAGAAGAAATCCGACCTGGAACCTACTGGATTGAAGACATGGACAGCAAGGCACAACCCCGTCCATGGAACATTGAACACCTTAGAATCTTTTATCAATGAATTGTATCATGCTGAATGACTTTCCCAGCCTTTGTAATATTTCTATGGCTCAATAAAATGCTTTGATTAAATCGTGTCGTACTGTGTCGTCACCTCGGAGATAGGCTCAGGACCCACCTCTGGGCCACCTCGCTTGAACTCCGAGGCGCTAGCACATGCCTCCCTTTGGCCATGCTGAACGCCAAGGGGAGAAGCCTCAACATGGCTGCACCATCCACCATGTCTGGGATGCATCATCACCTCGGAGGAGAGGCTCCGGGCCACCTCGCTTGAACTCCGAGGCACTAGCACATGCCTCCCTTTGGCCTTGTTGAACGCCAAGGGGAGAAGCCTCAACATGGCTGCACCATCCACCATGTCTGGGATGCGTCGTCACCTCGGAGGAGAGGCTCTGGGCTACCTCGCTTGAATTCCAAGGCGCTAGCACATGCCTCCCTTTGGCCTTACTGAACGCCAAGGGGAGAAGCCTCAACATGGCTGCACCATCCACCATGTCTGGGATGCGTCATCACCGCGGAGGAGAGGCTCGGGACCCACCTCCGGGCCACCTCGCTTGAACTCCGAGGCGCTAGCACATGCCTCCCTTTGGCCTTGCTGAACGCCAAGGGGAGAAGCCTCAACATGGCTGCACCATCCACCATGTCTGGGATGCGTCGTCACCTCGGAGGAGAGGCTCGAGACCCACCTCTGGGCACCTCGCTTGAACTCCGAGGCTCTAGCACATGCCTCCCTTTGGCCTTGCTGAACGCCAAGGGGAGAAGCCACAACCCTAAATTCGAGGTTCACACTGTTCGCTTAAGTCCGATCTCCTTAGGTCATGTTTATGTGCTTAAATCCGAGGTCCACACTGTTCATCTCCTTAAGTTATGTTAATTTAGTTCGTACAGTTTATCTCCTTAAGTCATGTTAATTTGCTTAAGTTCGAGGTTCGTACAGTTCATCTCCTTAGGTCATGTTTATTTGCTTAAGTCCGAGGTTCGTACTGTTCAGTCACTCAAGTTATGCTCATTTATTTAGTTCATACTTCTATCAAGTTCCAGTAAATTTGTTTAAACGAGGTATAAAAACTTGGACAAGAAGCAACAATGAAAGAAGAAAGACATTGTATTGAAATTTCAAAGCATGTTACAAAGGAGGGCCTCTGGCCATTACATCTAAATTACTGAAAAATAAAACCTAGTCTATGCCTGGCTAGATGACAAAGGAGCCTCGGCACTGGGACCTTCAGCAACTTGGGCATCAGTAGTTGTTTTCTCTGCCTCAGCACCAGGGGCCTCGGCATCAACTTCTTCATCACCCTAGACCTCCTCAGCTGGCGTCTGAGGTACCTCATCCACAAACTCGGACCTAAGTTGAGCCAGGTCCAAGTTGGGATAGAGCTCCTCTGCCCTCTCCAGCACTTCGGCATAGGCGAAGTTCCTCCAGTACGCGCTGAAGCTTTTATACTCCTCTGTAGTGTGGAAATTGGCGATGTATTCCTTCACCGCCTCTTCTGCTGCAGTTCGGGCCTCTTCTCTGGCAACAGAGGCGTCGTTCATGTACCACTTCGCCTGGCCTTCAAGAAACTGATAAGCATCTCGAGCACCGGCCAAGGAAAGATTCGCCTTCTCAAGGGCCTCAGCAGTCACCTTTTGGTGCTCATTGGAGACCTCCACCTTCTTTGTCAAGGAGGCTACCTCGCACTGTGACTCATATACTTCCTTCTTCAGGGCCTCAATTTGGGCCAAAGCAGACTCCAGCTTCACCGCCTCTTCAACTTTTTGGGATCTGGCTTCTTCAGCCTCAGCCTTAGCAGCTTTAACCTCCTCTGCAAGGGAGGCAGCTTTCCCCTCCGAGGCGTGGGTCCTTGTCTAGAATTCGCTTAAGGCCTCCCTGCATTCGAGCGCGAGGCCAAAGGTCCGGGCGCTTTGGCTCACTAGTGCCCTTGTGAGGTCGGTGGCGTCACAAGACGAGGCATGTAGCTGCCACCTCTCTGTCCAGAGCTTGTAAAAGCTCTCGGTGGCACTTCTGATTTCCTCAGGGAGAGCCTCCACCAAGGCTGGGGCCAGCTCCTCCTCCCTCCCAGCTAGGAAGTTTGGAGACTTCCCCTTCTCCCGAACCGGCTTCTCCTTTGCCGCCTCCTCTTCAGCGGCTTCTGCAGCTTGCCTCGCAGCCTCTTTTCTGGCCTCTTCAGCCTCTACCTCTCTTACCATCTCCATTTTGATGGCTTTAGAGGCTACAGCAAAAAGCTTCGGCTCTCCAGTCTGTTCAGCTCTATGGGACACTGAGGTCCCAAACTTGCCAGCTGAGCTGGAGATGTGCACCAGCTTCCTCTTCTTAGTCTCCTCAGAGACTTTCTCCTTGCCCCGAGGCTCCTTAGGCTTCTCTGGCCTCTGAGTAGTTGCCTCCTCCGAGGCCATGGGAGTGCAGTCCTTGGATAGGCGCTCAACCCTGCCTCAGACTTCCTTTGCCCCACTGGACCCAAGCTTCAGGGGCCTCGCCTTCGCAGTAGAAGTGGCCTTCAAGATAGAGGCCATGTCCGGAGCTGGGTACTCCCTTTTCTTGAATTTGTCTGCACAATATGTCAGATCAGCATCAGCATAAGAAACAATAAGGATAAAAGCAAGGGATCAAGTGTTGGGGCCTCATACCTTTGGATGCCATCAGCTCGAAGTCCAAAAAGTATCTGCTTCTATCAATCAGGTGATCGAAGTGCCGAAGCTTCAGAGGCCTCTTGTAAATGTCCTCTATCACCTCGAATTCCTCCCTGCTGAGCTCGAACCTCGTACTACTATCTGCAAAGAAACCTCCAACAGTTAGATGAATTCATATTCTGACTTCAAAAGACAAAGCAGAGGTCGGGAGACTCACGAGTTTCGTAGTACTGGGTCGGCACTGTGCATGACAGGGCTTTGTCACCCTCCACTGCCTGCCATTTACCTCGCACCCAGAACCGGGACTCCTTCCACCCCTTGATAGAGGAAGGAAGTCCCACCACAAAGGGTGCGTGAGCCCCCCAAGGCGTGAGGTAGTACCACCCCCTTGACTCCTTTCCAATTACCCGGGGCTGGAACAGGGTCATGATCACATGGAGAGGCATGTCCTCCCCAAGTGACACTTTCTTCCACAGGAAGTACGAGCCGACCAGCTGGCTCTACCCATTCGGCAGAACCTGGGTTGGCGACAGCATGAATTTCCTAAGCACCGCCCTAAAGAAAGGGTGCAGAGGAGGACGCAGACCTGCCTTGAACAGGTATTCACTCACGGCCATGCAGCCAGGCCTCGGCCCGCTCGTTCGGCTGGGGCACTAACATTTCTATGTTATGGGGCACATTGTACCTCTCCCTAAGTTCCCCCAACCTCTTCCCCATCATATTCGAGGGCACCCTAGAAGCCCCCCACTCCTAGGTATAATCCACAGCCTCCTCGGCCATGGCATACCTATCCACTTCAAACATCCCCCCATGACCTACCCCATGGTCTAAAGATGCCACTGTAACAAGCTCCCTACCCAAAGTGGACTCTATTTTGTTAGTACAAAGACAGTAACAAGGGTTTTTTATGCAAACAATACCTAAACGAGTTCGACACAAACGGAGACTGGTCGGAATTTAATCACAGACAACCTCGACGCCGGAAAATTGGAGATTTGAGAGAATTTCAGAATGCAAAGTGTTCAAAAATCCCGAAAATTGGGATTTTCTCGCCTTTTATAAAGGTCCAAGACGAACCCCAACCGTCAGATCAAATCTCAGTCAATCCGAGCCCTCCATTTCAGATCCAATCCGAGGCGTTGAATTCAAACAGTTTTTAAATCCTACGCCTCAGATTTATGCGTGCCTCCCACGCACTTCTCCAACGCGTCTGCTTCCAGGAACGCCAGCTGCCCTCATAATTGCATTTTCAATTCGACGGCAGCAGCGCCTTGGAAGTCGTAACGGTTCAGCTACCTTTCCTCGAAAACAAGCACAAAACATCAAATCATTGGCATAGCAACCAACGCACAATCATTACCATTGGACCTCGGCAAGCCTCGCAGGTTCAGTTTCCTCAACCACCTCGGCTTCCTCCTCGCCATTCAGCATCAAAGCCTCGCAGGTTCGATTTCCTCAACCACCTCGGCTTCCTCCTCGCCATTCAGCATCAAAGCCTCGCAGGTTTGGTCCCTAAACCACCTCGGCTTCCTCCTTGCCATTCAGCATTCAAGCCTCGCAGGTTCGGTTCATTCAACCACCTCGGCTTCTTCATCATTCATCCGTGGCAACACTTCTCAAACTCCAACCATGATATAAATATCTATACTTGGACTTGGGGGACTATTATTTGGGGTTCAAAAATTCTTCCAATTTCTACTCCATTAAAGTCCTCGCATTACATTAATGATTATACTTGGATTTGGGGAACTATTGTTGCGTGTTGTCACACATGTCATACCCACCCGGGCCAATGGCCCACTTATCCTGATCCACGTGGCGTTCCTGTCGAGGTGGCACAATTGCCGAGGTGGGCTACATCTGGACTGCTTCAAGCCGAGGTCCATCCACCAACGCTCACGATCCGACGTACCTCTACCGAAGTCCAACTACCGAGCCCCATGAACCAAAAGCATGGAACCTGTTGAATTTAGCTGAGGTCCACGGGTGGAGGTATTTCTCAAATGGTCGAAGCCCTGAAACTGATGCGCGAGCCTCTTAACCACAAGAAGCTTCCTCCACTGCCACTTCTCCCAAGAGATCGCCTGCTCAGAGATCTTATTCGAATGACTGATGGAACGTTTGTCACAAGCATAAAGGTCAAGTCTTGTCACTAGTATAAAGGACCTGCGCAAGCAATAAATGCGTCGTAAGCTAGCAAATCAAGTCCCATACCTAAGAACAGATATTTGAACTAAGGAGATGAGGCCACGCGCCACATCATCCAAGGGCTCCCATTTCATATGTATCACTATAAATACTAACATTGTGTAATGTCAAAGGCTAATGCAAGAATCAATACTAAAAACTACATTTATTCAACTCTCTCTCAGTTACTTGCAATACACAAATCGAGTTTATACACTTTCACTTATACATTTACGAGTACCGATTGGTAATTATTGTACAATCGGATTACGAACAACCCGCCGAATTCCGAACGTCACTGTCCCGCGTCGTTGGGCTACTCCCACGCCTCATTGAACCGCTCGTTTTAGACCGTCCACGTGTCTTAACGTGTTGGACATTCGCCCACGCAAGCGCGGGTGGGACCGGCATCTATTGGCGCACTTTTTGGGGTCAACATTAGTTCTAAAATGTAGAACCATGAAAGAGTAAAACGATAAAAAAATGGATATCGCTGGTCAAATGTGAATTTGTATGTAGTGGAAACACAATTCTAATAAAGACAAGGTAACAAAATTAACGAAAGCATACCAAGCGTTCCCTTTCAGATGGCTTCCCTGCAAAACAGCTGGCTTTGATTCTCTTTATTGCAATATTAGAGCCCTTCCACTTGCCATGATACACAAATCCATATGTGCCAGATCCTTATTCCCGGATTTCTTCCATATCTTCATTTTTTATTGACTACATGGAATAATATAGTAACAATTAATTATAGCACTCAAGCTGACAAACAAAAATTCATATATGTGTTTGTGTGCGTGTGTGTCTATAGGAACCTGCAATCCTCTGTCAATTGCTTCTGCCTCAGCTTTGGTTGGCTCTATCTTAGAAATGTTAACATTATCATTATCAAAATCGATCTTCAAGTCCCCAGTGCCATCCTACAAAATAAAAAATAAATATCAGGATGACAGAAGATGCCTTAGAAAACCATTATGAAAGAGTATAATTGAATCTCACCACTTCATGTTTGACATTATGATCATCTTCTTTTGCAATAGCATTAAGCTCAATGCCCAGGCCAGCATCTTCTTGCACTTTATCTTTCACCTCCTTCACACCCTGCAATGTCGCCTTTTTTGCTAATGCCATTTAACTTAGTTAAGAAACTCAATTGCTCATCTAGCTGCTCCTCAATTGTAGCAAAATAGCTTTCCACAGCAGGTTCGAATTGATTTGACTTGGTTAATTCAACAGGTACTACACCTGCTAGGAGCACATTGGTGGCATCAAGCTTAATACAGTCTTCAACAAACCGCTTCCAGATTTGTTTCTTTGCAACCTCCATGCACACCGTTTCCCTCTACCCTAACTGATTCAGTAACTTTGTCATTTCTTGAGCCTAATCCAAAGATATTCTGAGGGACCAATTTATCATCAACTAATAGTTCTGAATCAAACTTTGTAAAAGGATCTACAGAAGTCGCAACATTAGTCAATTCAGAGGCCAGATGGGTACCTGAATGGATGGGTTGATGAGCATAAAGATGCTGATTTTCTTGAGTGCAAGCATTGGAAACAAAATTTGCTATTTGGCCATGGGGATATTCTGGCACAAGAGACCCTTGGGGGCCCACTACCTTTCTTAGCGAGTCAATACAAGGAATCTGGTTTTCCAACCCAGTTCATAAACTGGAATTACCCTCCACTTCACCACTTATAAATCCATTACTGATACAGCCATTTGCTATCTGAGGAGAAATAGATGTTTCGCCAGTTAAGACCCCTTGTATTGGGCTATGAGCATTTCTTCTTAAAGCATGTGTGGGTATATGACCATAAGGCACCTGGTACAAGTTATCGGCTCCATATGCATAGGTAGGAACTTGAATCTGTGATCCAGATGCCAAAAGTTGGTCTTGTAACACTTGACTTCCGAAGTCTGTCCCAGCTCGGACATAATGTGGGTCTTCACGATGGGTACAAGGAGATTGTACGTGGTGCTCACTAGGGGTGTAAGCGGTCCGATTTTACTGATTTTTGATAGATTTTCAAACCAAACCGTTTCAAACGGTTTGAGAAAAATCCAAACCTAAACCAAACCATCTTGAACGGTTTGAAAAAAACTCAAACTTAAACCTAAGGGTGTGGTCCGGTTTTAAACCCCCGGTTTCGCCATATATTTTTTTGCCCGTCTACTTTTATGTCATTAATTCATTGAATTTAATATATATTTATATTTTACTAGTAATAAATCTAAAACAAACTAAACTCCTGTTTGAACCAAATTTTTGGGATAAAAAAAATGAAAATTTGGACCGTTATCCCACAAGTCCAGCCGTCTTTGTTGACCTGCTGTTTCATGTGTGGGACCCAGCCTTCTTTCCAATAGTTAATTTTCTCACTATGATGATATGGAAAATATGACTCAAACATGAGCTAAATATATCTACTATAAATTTAAATACCAACTAAATCAAGTGAAATCACAATAAACTAAAACATAATTTTTTTTCGTTTTTTTTTTCACCTTTTTAAGCTAACGATGATACAATAACGTTACAATAAAAGTCTACTAAACTAGATATAAGACCCAAAAACATAATGATATCCAACAAGATTTCGTGATCATCATGTCTAAAAAAAGGATACTAATTAAATAAAGAGAATAACCACCCACAATAATAAAGCAAGTGTTTATAATATCTAAATATAACAATTATACAAGTTTACGCTTGTATGATGTTACGAAATGCATTTAATTTTAGATTCTTACCTTAATTTACTCCAAAAAAATTATTGATCTGAAACTTTATTTGTAACAAATATTATCACCGAATGTCTAAAATCTCTTTGTCTCCGATTTCGTATAATGGATTTCAATTCAACTTTGAAGATGCGTGAAAATCTGAAAAAGAAGTGTGTGGTGACGGTGACTCAAGACTGTGTTGGGAGTCGACTGGATTTCATCTAAATTCCGAAGAGAAAAAAACTTTTGATAGATTATGTTAGTCTTGAAATTATTAGATATATATTAGGATTATTGGATGATGATAATAATAATAATAATAATAATAATAATAATAATAATAATAATAATATATTTGTATTAGAAAATTAGAAATTGACAAAAATATCCACAAATGACAAAACTATTGAATTTTACATATTTGGATGAATTTTCAAAAAAAAATCATTTTTTCATTTTTTTATTTTTATATATTTTTTTGCGGTCCGATTTGGTTTTAAGCCGCAATTAAAATTCTCAAACCTAAACCAAACCATTTTGACTGGTTTGGTTTGGGTCAAAACCATTTCGTTGACCGGGTCCACGTGGCACCAAATCGACGATTTCTAAAATGCGGTTTCGATTTGGTTTTTCGATTTTGCGCTTTTTGCTTACAGCCCTAGTGCTCACACATAAGTTACCATGTCCATGAGGAATACTTGTGCCATTATCCACAATGTAGTGTTCAGTAGGTCTTGCAGGCAAGGTAACATGCAGTTCCTCAAGCCGAGAAATAGACTGATGCAGTAATATCCGTCATCTTCCGTGACCATAAGTCTCATTATACAGTGCTCGAGGATCAGTTGGATCCCTCAAGCAGTATGGATGGTGTGTGTTAGCATTTGCATTCAACATATACATTTCCTTGTTAGGGGGGCATTTAGCATAAGTATGGTGGCTCTAAATGTGGCTGTGCTCCAGGCTTCCAAAGGGAATCAAGATAAACTTGATTTCTTTGAAATGTCATTCGACAATGCTCGAATATACTATTTCTTTCATAAATATTGTGGCCATGAAGTATGCTATCACTGGCTACTGAACTAGTAGGAAGTAATACCAAATTCTCCGTGTACTGTGGTTGCTGATCCTGTATTGACTGGTGATGCATTGGAGATAGATTGTGCTCCTCAAGCATTCTATCAAAGCTTTTGTCTAGAAACTCCCCATATAGAGTCCGATAATGAACGGATGAAGGCGAAGGTGAAAAATCAACTAGTGGTTTTTGGTCAAGATGCCCGGGTTGCCTGGGAAAATAGTATGCTCTATGGAGCTTCCATTTGGGGCCTTGGGGGTAACCCCAAACCCATATGAGGAATTGCAAAATTTGCTAAGTTTATTGGAGGCATTGACGGCTCTAGATTCCGTGGATGCCAAAATCCAGATCCATTTGATTAAAATACTACTCGATAACATAAAGATCTATTAACAGCTCCATCTTCGGAGACTCAGCGGATTGATTCTTGATTTCAGGAGTTTCATTAAGGTTGTTCAATACATCCACATACCTCCTCTCGTTAACCCTTTCATCACCATCACCAAAATGCACTGAACCATCTTGATTAGAATGTGAAAACAAAAAAACTTCTTAACCTCGTTATCCCATCGCCCAAGCATAACTTGTCGTACTCTTCCATCATATTAGTAACATCATCATCATTCACAACTGAAACAAGAGCATCAAGATCCTCATCGGGCTGCTGATATTTTAACATGGTGACCCCTTCGAAAAGCTCCCTCATCCTCCCCATGAGATTCTCATAGCTGATATCTCACGGGACACTTACAATTCGTGTCTCACTTCTGTAGGGCTACCCATCAAGTCCTGAGTTTATTGTTGATGATCAGTAAATGAGTACACAAATTCCAAATTTGATTTCTTAAATTTTTCATCCCCTGTTGTAGTGTACATTAGCTATTTTCATGATTATGCAAGAACCCATTTGCTCACTTCTCCGAATTTCCCAACCAAAAACCCAAAATTAACCTTTTATTTAGACCAATACTCAATTAAAATCAAAACTTTTTCTCTGCAACTGAAAAAGGACCTAATTTTATAACAAATTGTCCAATAAATAAAAACTATATTATTATAATTGCCCAAATCCCTGCACCAATATCAAAACTTTCAAGCTGAGTTTCATTCACCCTAATAAACCAAAATTTACAACGAAAAATACGGACTTTTTCTGAAAACTGATCAAATACCTTAAAACAAAACTACAGGTGTTGCATGTTGTCACACTTGTCCTATCCCCCTGGGCCAGTAGGCCACTCATCCTGATCCACGCGGCATTCCTGTCGAGGTGGCCCACATTGCCGAGGTGGGTTACACCCGAACTGCTTCTAACCGAGGCCCATGTCCCGAGGCGTGGAAGGTTCTGTTGTAGCTGAGGTCCTCGAATGGACGAAGCCCCCAAGTTGATGCGCGAGCCTCAACCACAAGGAAACATCCTCCATGGTCACTTCTCCCAAGGGATCCCCTGTATAGATCTTATTCGAATGATTGATGGAATGTTTGTCATAAGCATAAAGGTCAAGTCTTGTCACTAGCACGGAGGTCCTGCACAAACAATAAATGCGCCGTAAGCTAGCAAGTCAAATCCCATACCTATGAACAGACATTTAAACTATGGAGATGAGGCCACGTGCCACTTCATCCAAGGGTCCCCATTCCATATGTATCACTATAAATACCCCCATTGTATAGTGTCAAAGGGCTAATGCGAGAATCAATACTAAAGACTACATTTACTCAACTCTCTCTCATCTTACCTGCAATACACAAATCGAGTTTATACACTTTTACTTATACATGTACGAGCACCGGTTGGTAATTATTTTACAATCGGATCACGAATAACTCGCCGGATTCTGAACGTCACCGTCCCGCGTCGTTGGGCTACTCCCACGCCCATTTGAACCGCTTATTGTAGACCGTCCACGTGTCTTAGCGTGTTGGACATTCGCCCACGCAAGCGCGAGTGGGACCGACATCTGTTGGCGCACTTTTTGGGGTCAACAGATTGGCGCCGTCTGTGGGAAACCATACCATAACCACGAGCAACCTTGTGGTAAAAGCTTGCTGAAAAAAAACATTTGGGCAACCCCCCTTGAAAAAGGATTTGTTCTTGAAAGAGAACAGGAGGAACCCCTACCACTTGGAGGAATCTAAGATTGGCATAAAGGAATAATGAGCTCTAACGAAGATACTCCCCCAAGGAGGGTAAGAGAAAATACCAATGTGCCTCCCCAGCCGGCTGCCCCAGCAGCTCGGCAGAGGCTCCACCACCACCAAAGGAGAGGTGGGATGCGTGCGACGGCACGACTATCAAGAGAAATGGCTACTATGGCAGCCAACATGAGGGACATAGCTAACCAAAACTTGGCCATGAGGGAGCTCATGGCCCCGATGCAAGGCCAAGGAGGTTTCCCCATTCCTCCATATGCCCCCCATGGGCACTATCAGCAAGAGGACGAGGTCCGAAGTCATAGGGCTGCCTCGCCAGGCTATGGCCGAGGTGAAAGTCCATTCGAAAGGGAAGTGGGAGTTGACATTTCCTCCAATTATGCATATGGTCGACCCTCCGAGGTCCAAATGAGCCATGATAACTTTCCACCTCCGTATGAGCAAGACCCAAGACAGAGGAGAGCAGGAAGTGTTTTTGACAGAATCAGCCCTGCCGAACCAAGGCCCAGTCAACAGCAGGGTCAACAGCCTCGGACGAAGCCATAGCCTCCACCTCCGATGCCCCAACAGCCGGAGAGAAGGCATGAAAATGCCCCCCGCGCTGTCCCGCCTAGAAGTAGGCCGCAAAGGAGGGAGGAAGAGGCTAGGAACCGGCCAGGACCCTCTCACCAACGACCTAGGTACGAGGCCGAAGATTATGATTCTGATGAGCAACAGAGGTCCTGTGACTTGGACGATAATGATGAGAACCTGCCATTCTCGAGGGAACTAAGAGATGCCCAGGTCCCGAGCCACTATGTCATGCCAAAAATACCAAAGTATGACGGGAGAGGTGACCCAGAGAAGCACCTCAACGCTTACAAAACTCACATGAGCCTAAGGGACGCCACTCCAGCTGTGAAGTGCAGAGCATTCCATTTAACCCTCAGCGGAGCGGCTGAGATCTGGTATAGTAGGCTACCATCTGGGAGCATCCGAAGCTGGCCCGAGTTCAAAACTACCTTCTTGAAGAGGTTTGCAGTGATCAAGGAAGGAGAGGCCCCCATTCAGCGTCTTCAAGACATGAGACAGGCGCATGGCGAGTCCTTGAAAAGCTTCCTATCCCGCTTCACCGACGAGATGACCTACTGTGTACAAGTCACCGACAGGGAAGCCCTATCTGCATTAAGAGGAGGATTGAACATGAACACCCTATTCTAGAGGGATGTGCAGAATCAAGACCCAACCACCTATGACGCCCTACTAGAAATGATGAGAAGAGAGATAATCAATGAAGAATTGATTGAGCATAGAAATAGGGCAAGCAGGGGCCTCCCACCTCCACAAAGACAGCGAGGTAGGGGACCGACCTCCCACCTCATGGACTACCAGATGAACCGATCTGGAAATGAGAACTCCGGCCAAGCCCTGGCTACCACAACTCTGAACGCGGTACCAACCTTGGCGTATGAGGATGTCAACCCAACCGCTGACCCACATCAGCTACAGGCGCATCAGGGACCCCGTAGAGGGAGAGGCCAAGGTCGAGGTCGAGGCTTTGCACCTAGAAATAGGTCCAATCCGAACCTCCCTGGATACTGTTTGCACCATAGGTCCTACGGGCATGACACCGCGAATTGCAGAGACTATGCACACCGCTCGCGGCAAGAAAGACATAACTCGCCCCGAGCCAACAGGCCCCCGCCCAGGCAAGATAACCGACATGGGCGTGAGGCGGCCGCTCCTCGCCAAAGGGATGTCTCCCCAAGGCGAAGAGAGCAAGACACGGAGAGGCCCAGGGAAGGGCGTAGACACCAAAGGAACAGGCAAGCTCAAGATGAGGCCCCTATCCACGAGATAGATACCATATTTGGAGGCCCTTACGTTGGCGGTGAAACACGGAACGCCAAAAGAAATTATGCTAGGGAGGCTAAGCACCCCCCTCTGACAAGCTACATTGTGGATAGTAGCTCTCGAAGAAACCAAGTACCACCCATTGTCTTCACCCAGGAAGACGCCGAAGGAGTTCATTACCCCCACTGCGATGCGCTGGTGGTGAGAGCTGTCATAGCCCGAAATGGGCTCAAACGAATGCTAGTCGACAACGGCAGCTCCGTCAACATCTTATTCGGGTCCGCCTTTGACAAGATGATATTGGACCACCAGTTGACGCCCACCACCACTCCATTGTACGGATTTACCGGAGATAGTATCACTCCGAGGGGAAGGATAACACTGGCAGTGGAGATGGAAGAATCACCTCAAACTACAATGAACTTATGGAGTTCCTCGTAGTCGACAGTCGATCGGCCTACCACGGAGTCTTGGGCAGACCGGCCCTAAAGGAATTGGGAGCAGTCACCTCCATCCACCACCTATGCATGAAATTCCCAACAGAAAATGGGGTGGCAACGGTGAGAGGCGACCAGAGAGGTTCGCGAGAGTGCTATCTGAGCTCCATTAAGAAGGTAGAGCCCCGGGACGTCCACGTGATCATGGCTGATGTGGTCATGGCGGATGTCCCAGGTGACGTTCCCACTAACCAGGAAGATGTTGATATGATTGACGCACCACTCGTTCAGGAGGCAATGATCGTTGATGAGATCGACCCCCACATAATGGAACATGAGCCTCAAGCCTCCCCTGTAGAGGAACTTGAGAGCTTCTCAGCCGACCCACGAGATCCGTCCAAGGTGCTGAAAATAGGCAGGGGCTTATCCGACATATTGAGAAAAAAGATTAAGGATTTCCTAGGCAAGAATCTGGACGTCTTCGCCTGGAGGCATGAGGACATGGTGGGCATAGACTCCAAGGTCAGCTGTCACCACTTGAAAATCGATCCTAATTTTGCCCCACATAGACAAAAAAGGAGAGCCCTCAATCCTGAAAGGTACGAGGCCTTGAAGGAAGAGGTTCAGAAGCTAATCCAAAATGACTTCATCAGGGAGGCCACCTATCCGAAGTGGGTCTCCAACCCGGTCTTGGTTAAGAAACACAACGGTAAATGGCGAGTATGCATCGACTTTACCAACCTTAATAGAGCTTGCCCGAAAGATAGTTTTCCGCTTCCAAGAATTGACCAATTGGTGGACTCCACGGCTGGGCATGAGTTATTGAGCTTCATGGATGCATACTCCGGATACAACCAAATCCCCATGCACCTCTTTCATCACGGATCGAGGCCTCTATTGCTATAGAATGATGCCTTTCGGGTTGAAGAACGCCGGAGCAACTTACCAAAGACTTGTGAACAAAATGTTTACCGACCTCATCGGCAAAACAATGGAGGTCTACGTGGATGACATGCTGGTGAAAAGCTTAGAGGCAGAGAACCACGTAGCGCACCTCAACAACACCTTCCAAATCCTGAGAAGGTACAGGATGAGGCTCAACCCGCTTAAATGTGCCTTCGGGGTGGCTTCCGGCAAGTTCTTGGGGTACATGGTTAACCAGCGGGGAATTGAAGCAAATCCCGAGAAGATTGAGGCTCTGTGCCAAATGAGGTCCCCTCAAAAGCCAAAGGAGGTGCAAAGCTTAACCGGGCGAGTGGCAGCACTTAGTCGCTTCGTCTCCAAAGCAACTGACAAGTGCCTCCCATTTTTCAAAGCGCTCAAGGCTGGGAAGAAATTCCAATGGACTGAGGAATGCGAAGAGGCCTTCCAAGGATTAAAAAGGCACTTGGGGCAGGCCCCCCTCCTCTCCAAGCCGAAGCCCGGCGATATATTGCAACTATATCTCGCTGTCTCCAATGACGCCATCAGTTCGATTTTGATTCGAGAAGAAGGGCCCACCCAACTTCCCGTCTACTATACGAGTAAAGCGCTCCTATCGCCGGAGACCCGATACCCAGATATGGAGAAGCTTGCTTTGGCCTTAATCACGGCCTCTAGGAAATTGAGACCTTACTTCCAAGCTCATACCATCCATGTACTTACAAATTTTCCCCTGAGGCAAGTACTCCAGAAGCCCGATGCCTCGGGAAGATTGTTGAAATGGGCAGTGGAACTAAGTGAATTTGACCTTGTGTTCAAAGCAAGGGCGGCCATCAAAGGGCAAGCGTTAGCAGACTTTGTTGCTGAATTCGCCAACCTACCCGAGGTGGATGAAATCATGGAGCCCGTCGAACTCCCCACGTGGAGCCTCTTCGTAGATGGCTCGGTTGGAGATGTCGGCTCTAGTGCCGGAGTTGTCCTCATCAGCCCCGAGGGCCACCAACTCACGTCGGCCGTGAGGTTCGGGTTCAAAACTACCAACAATGTTGCAGAGTATGAAGCACTCCTCGCAGGCCTCAGACTGGCCAAGGAAATGCAAGTAAAGAAGCTACTCGTCAATAGTGACTCCCAGCTGGTTGTTAGCCAAGTCAATGGTAATTTCTCAGCCAAAGACAGAACAATGGCCTCCTATCTGAAAATGGTGATGGGCCTTATCCCATCCTTTGAAAAGTTCGAGTTAATCCAGATTCCCCGCATCAAAAATGCTCATGCGGACGCACTCTCGAAGCTGGCTAGTAGCAAGGACTCGGAGCTACTCAATGTAGTGCCTATCGAGCACCTCCTACTGCCCTCTACCGAGGCCCCTAATGTTATGTGGGTCGGTGAAATTCCCGCCTGGATGCAACCAATTATAGCATACCTGAAAGACCAGGTGCTACCCACCGACAAAAATGAGGCTTACAAGCTAAGAAGGAGGTCAGCCCATTTCCTCTTCATCGATGACATTCTCTACAAGAGAAGTTTCTCCTCTCCACTCTTGAGATGTGTCGGAGGGGAAGAGGCTACATACATACTAAGAGAAGTCCACGAGGGAGTGTGCGGCAACCACTCTGGAGGCCTATCTCTGGCACAAAAAATACTGAGACAA